TAGTTAGTTGTTTGCCTATGTGGTGGTCTTCCATGTCTATTCCCTGGAATAGGTGGAGACCTTTTTAGGTGGAGAGCATCCTTACCATTTACTCTGTTGCAGGTAAGTGAATTAGAACATGCGAAAGTCAGCAATGTCTCGAATGTGTTCCTCTGGGGAGAGAGCTGTTCCGAGCCTGGAAGCCTGCCTGTTTGGAGCCTGGAAACCTGCCAAGATCAGCTTTGTTTGTCTTCCAGAGCACTGTCTTTCCTCTTATCTGGTCTGTGGGACAGTCTAACATTCAGCAAACCCTCTCATTTACTTTCCTGGGTATTCCTAATCCCACCACTATAACCCTAACATTTTTAGTTGAAAACATTTTTTCATACAATACATTCTGATCATGATTTCCCCTTCCCCAACTCCTTCCAGACACTCCCCCCCTCCTCACCAACCCAAATCTACGCTCTTTCTCTCTCTTTCATTAGAAAACAAACAGGCATCTAAAAAGTAATAAGAAAATAAAAATCAGAATAGGGCAAAACATACAAAGAAACAAATTGTTTAAAAAATAATAGAGCCAAAGAAAAAGCACAAAAAAAACCACAGAGACACAAACATTTGCACACACAGAAATCCTATAAAAAGGCAAAATCAGGAAACATAATATGTAAACAAAAGACCTGTAAGCTAGAAAAATGCCCAGACAAAGCATTATGAAACAAACAAAAAAAAAAAAAAAAAAAAAAAAAAAACCTCCAAAAATACCAGAGTTCATTTTGTGTTGGCTGTCTACTACTGGGCATGGGGCCTGCCCTTAGGTGTGGTTTGTATATTCAGTGAGACTCCATTGGAGAAAACTAATTTTTCCTTTAAGAGAGGTAAAACCCTACCATTCTAATATCTACTTAACCCTAAAGTGTGTTTCCTCAGAACAATCAGATAACTAACTCTACCATGTTCATATTTATTTCAGCCCCAAGGGAAAATCACACATGTATAAACTTCACACTTATTTAGGCCTCTCATCTAATTTTGCTTTTATTTAAATAAGACTCAACTAGCTCTTGTGGTTTATATTTTTCTTATTGACAAATTTATTCTAATTGTACAAATGTTACCACTGTTGGACACAGTATTTTCTAATCAATGATAAATCTTGATTCAATAAGAAGTTTCAATCCACACATGTTTCCATCCCTAATTTAAATCTGATTTAAATAATTTCAGTAGCCTAGAAAGTGTTCTGTACATTTCTATGCTGACCAGCAACATGTTTTACTTATCCAAACAGCCCCTCAGATGATCATGCATAAATATACCTTTCCATCTACTATCACTTCATCCCAAATGTCTTTATTTACACAGTTGTACTGATTAAAATCCTTGGGCAACTGAAAATCATATAAGTCAGTTTTTTCTAAATTCGTGTCTATGCCTGTAAGTAAAATGTTTGCTCTTTAATTGCTGACATTTTAGCTATTAATGTCATCCATCAAAATAAGATCCTGTCTATCACATATCCCATACTATTCCAATACTTTATGTCTGGTGTGTTCAATCTTTCATTCAGCACAAACTGAATAAATGAGTTGCTGTAATAAATACATCACACCCTCCATGCAGTGGGCTCTCTTGCCTGATCATGAGTTTAAAGACACGGGGGATGAGGGATCTACAAATGGACCTGACAGATGTGGTTTTTCAGGCAGCAATCATGTGCACCTGGATTTCAAACTCTTGTGATCTGGTTAATTTTAACCTTTAAAATCAGTTCCTTGCAGACATACTGACGCCGTTGAAGTAATAAATAACTTGGAGAATGCCTTCTTTAGCTTATCTCAATTCTTACCTGGAATGCAGAACATCAGTGAATGACCTCCAGGCCAGATCTGGTGCTGTTCTTCACAGAAACCCACAGCCACCACAATTATATCCCCTGTTTTGCAGCGACCCTTTTGAAGTCTTTTTTTTGTTTGTTTTTTCCCCAGACATGCAGAATGCCTTTTCAGTGCACTTATTCCGATCCAACCTTGTTTGGGCTCAGATGAGCTCTGTTTATATTCAGTGTCTCATTTTACTTTTCACTCTGACAAGCTCATTCTTGAAACTGTTTAATGTAACTTTTCATTCAGAACATACTATGAACTGAAAATTAAAGATGCCTAATTTATGGCATAGAGAAAAAAATGTCATCTCAGAGAAACCAAACTGAAAGAAGTAAAATACTGCATACACACTGTTCAAGATGAGGAAAAAGTATGATGTTTTTATTAGATTTAAATATTTCCTAATCTTGATATGCTGTGTCTTCTGCTTGGATGACCAGATGCCATGTATTCTCACTGAGGTCATATTCACTTGATTATTTGCTTAACATTCATCCTAGAACTACACTTACATTGAGTGTTGGATTTTAATGAGCCCCTTACAGTAAACACACAGGAAAACGTCCTCCATATTTGTTAAAATATGTTTTGTGGTGAATTCCATCATACATTGGTTTTGCTTTGTTTTCTTTAAATGACTATGCAGTGCACTGTGTTTTTTCCTCCTCTTTGGACTAGATTTAGGAAAACAAGGGTTAAAAAATAAAATGTTTAATTCTGGTAATGATATGAAACTTTAAATTTAAAATATATGCTACTGCTTGCTTTCATATCTACTATATTATACCATGTTAATCATATGTATGTGTAATTCAGTAATCTGAATATTTGTAATATAGTTATGTAGCTAACCTCAGCTCAGCTCAGATTGCTTTTAGGGATCAGAGTATAGACATGATTAGGAATACATAAATTCATCTCAGTATAAAGCACATTTATTATGAAGATGTTTTTCTTCTTACAAGCTTCACCAATGCATTTTTTACTTCCTTGTTTCTCAGACTGTATATCAGTGGATTTAGCATGGGAATCACTGTAGTATAAAACACTGAGGTCACTTTCTCATGGATGAGTGAACCATTCGAAGCAGGTTTCAGATACATGGACATGAGCGACCCATAAAATATAAGAACAGCTGTCAGGTGGGAGCTGCAGGTGTTAAAGGCTTTGGATTTGCCCTCTTTCGAGTGGATGTGGAGGATGCTGGCCAGAATAAACCCATAAGATATGATTATTGTCAGGCTGGTGGCTACCATATTAAATCCACCAATGATAAAAATCAAAAGCTCATCAATATAAGTGCTGGAACAGGAGAGTTGAATAAGAGGTACGATGTCACAGAAATAATGTTTAATGATGTTGGATTTGCAGAAAGATAACCTTAGTATACAGCCCCCATGAATCACAGCGTCAGTGAAGCCCACTGAAAAGACAGCAGCCACCAGTAAAGAACAGACCCGAGGGGACATGATGACAGCATAGAGCAACGGACTGCAGATGGCCACATAACGATCGTAGGCCATGGCGGCCAACATGTAGCATTCAGAAATGACAAAAATACAGAAAAAGAAGAGCTGAGCCATACAATTGGAGTAAGAGATAGCTTTATCCCTGCTTAGAAACCCCACCAGCATTTTGGGAGTAACAACAGACGAGTAGCAGAAATCTAAAAAGGACAAACTACTGAGAAAATAGTACATGGGGGTATGCAGTTGAGAGTTCAGCTTGATGAGCGCCATCATGCCAAGATTTCCCACCATAGTGACGATGTAAATCACCAAGAAGAGACAGAAGAGGGGCAGCTGAAGAGCTGGCTCCTCACTTAACCCCAACAGCAGAAACTCAGTCACCGTAGAGTGATTTCTTAAGCTCATTCTCCTCTGAGAAATTTGTAAAGATGAGTGGGGGAGGAAATGTCAAATAAGAGCAAATCCTTGTTGTTCTCCAGTCCTCCAGAGCCCAGGTGTTTCTAGTTGTGAAAAACAAAGACTGTTATAAAATTCAAAGGGTCAGCATATACATTGGGAAGTCAGTAAGCACCTACTACCATCGGTTTTATGAACCACCAATACACCACCTCCAGGGCCTCAAATTCTCTGGGCAAAGGATCAAACATTCCACCCTAGAATCTAGGACAGGAGTCATGCTAAGGGTTGTGAAGGCATTCTCCTGAAGCAAATCAGCAGAAGTGCATAACTAAGAGGGTGGAACCAAGACATTTCTCAAAAGCCTGTGTGACTGCGGCTCACTCTGCTTTACCAACACAGAAGTTGTTATTACAATCAACTATTTTTTTTTTTTGCATTCTAGATTTTCCAGCATTGGTAAGAGAATACCGGCTAAGTGAAAGTATTAAGAGGTATTGCATGAAATGAATACTCAAGGATCATTTACTAGAAACATCTGATGAGTTACAGAGACAATTCCTCAGTTCTCCTAAAGGACTATATAGAATAAAATATTTCCAAGTGTTTAATGATAGGCCACTTGGACACTTTTTTTTTTCTTTTTTATAGCAATAGTGTGACTTGGGAAACAAGTTCTCATGCATTAGCAGTATTTTCAAGTGTTAAATGGTTTTCCTGCTTGAAAGTCTGTTCTCCTCACACTTACAGATGATGGGAGAATGCTGAACTCCCAAAGGCATTCCAGGCTTCTTGATCTCAGCTCCTGTCTGGGCTCAGACTTCACCACTACTGCTTCCACTATGGGAACATCAGCAACCCGGAGATCTGTATCTCTTCCTGGAGGCTTCCAAACAGCACTGTTTTCATCCTCATCCTCTATTCTCATCCTCTGGTGAAGAGCCAAGATGGTAATCTTGAAGTAGCCTGCCCTCAGGTTGAACAAGGTCTTGTCTCTGAGGCCTGACTACTTTTTTCTTGGTGTCGTGCTAACCACAGAGCTCTGTCTGAACTTTCACATATGGAGTCCTTCCCAGGCTTGTATCTATCATTTTCTCAACCTCCGGTTCTGGATCTGTCTCCCTCCATGACTCTTCAAGAAGCTGTTCCATTTTGGTTTCCAATCAGTTATTAACATTAAGGACAAGATACTATTTGGCTACCTGAACTTCCAAAGATGCAGGAAATCCCTATTTCCCAGAACCTTCTCTCTTTCTGAAGAAAGGGAGCTTAATGACATTCAACAGGTATTTTCTTAGTGGGGCTCAACTCTACAAAGCACAAATCTTTTGTGTCATGAGCAAATGGGGGTAACCAGTTGCCCTTGGCCTGTTACAGAAACACCTACGTGTCTTCCTGTCCCATTACCCCTTACCAGTTAGGGCACACATATGCAGACAAGTCATAATGACTGTACAGAAAGACAAAGAAAGGGGGTGTTCAACAGGATTCGTATTCTCATGTTTTATTTTTTCTTTAATCTCATGAATGTTTCCATACCCGTCTTTAATCTGCCCTGAGGGTCACACACACTCTAACCATTCTCAGTACATATCTAATCCTCCCACACAAGCCCCTAGTCTTACTGGCCTTTTTATCAAAGGAAAATGTTCCTGTTTCTTCTTTTGTTCTAGTGGCCTACATATTTCTGACTTCTGTTCAAATCAGTTCTCTTTTTTATTTTTCCTAATGTCCATGGAAATCTTAGGTTTATGTCCTTTCTCCTCAAAATGGTCCATTGTCCATCAGCATCTGCATCACTTGGGAGCTTGTTAGGACAAATCTTGAAACACATAGTGTATTTCAACTTATGGTGCATATCCAATCAACCTAGCTACACTTGAAGTGCTCAGTAGCCACTTAGAGGCTATCTTACTGTAATTGTTTTCTAAATATGAAGTCTCATTATGAATGCAGAAGGCAACAGTGAGCACACCATTATAGCTCTGACCAAATCTCTAAGACTTGTAGGGAAGCCACTAATTCACAAGGCAGTCTTTGTGAACTTTTTTCCGTAAAACTTAGAAATACTGCAAAGCATTGTTGTATAAGCGACATAAGACCAAAAGTATGAGTGGATGCTAACATTGTAAGGTCTGCAAAGCACGTGTTAAAGCTCAGTCTAACGGCATCTTCCCTCTGCTCCTGCCACTGACTCAGCGGGCCACAAGTACACGAAGACTCTACAGCTCATGGGGCAATCAGGAGTGGATGTTAGACCATGTTATCACAGTCAGAAGATACGACCACTTCTGAAACTCACCTTCCTCCTTCTGGTGGCTTCAGGAGACTTCTTCCTCCTGGTGGTTTCAAATAAGAATCTCTTTTTTCCCTCTTCTCTAAGAAATAAAGGTGGGTTAATATAGCTTCTTCCCTAACTAGCAAAACAACAGCAGATAACAAGAAGCTGAGAGTTTGATTCTTAGTTCAAGCATTTTATTTGAGTTAAAATAAATTTCTACATTCATTAATGTAGAAATATAAAGATAGTCATCCCTGGGGTTTCTTTTCTCCTGGGGCTCATCAACCTGTGAGTTTGTAAGACCTGGTCCCAAGCTGCACGATACATCATTTCATGCATCTAGTATAGATGAGGCACACTGAGCAAAGCTTCCAAACACTCCCTTAGAGCTTTTGCAACCCACTGGGTCTGAAGGCCACTCAACACAGACCCTTCTGGGACATGCTGTTGAATTACTGGATCATCCTAGGAGGCTCCTACATGCTCATAGGTGTCGTTTGAGCTCAGAAATGGAAAGCCTCATCACTATAGAATATGTTAGATTACAAATTATGCCTTTAAAGGTGGATGAATTTACTTATGCTGAAGGGATATGATGAAATATTCAATATTTAGATAAGGATATGAGCAAAGAAACTAAGACACAGAAAACATAAGCATATATAAAAGACATCAGGAATGGTTTAGTACTTCCTGGATAAAGGAGCCCCAAGAGTGTCACGGAACTGGCCTCTGGTTCCTAGGCATGGATCCCTGGGATATCTGGCAAAGTGCCTCATGATCTTTGGATGAGCCTCTTTCTAGTGACCTTAAAACAGTATATGTACTTGAAACTTCCAAATTTCAGGGAAAACAACCAGATCTTGCTTTGGGAATATTTGTAAGTTATCTCATAATTAGTTATAAAGTATATACTACATTAAAACCAGTAACTCTAGTGGGTGGAGAAAAAAAATATGTGGCCCTTGTTTATATCATTTTGGTATTAAACTATGTCCTCAAATAAACCTATATTTTTAGAAAACACGCCCTTGGGATCATCTCTATCCCCCTGTCTACCCTCCCTTTGAGGGGTAAGCCATTGTAGAACTTCTTCTAACACACACACACACACACACACACACACACACACACACACACACACGCACACACACGCACGCACACGCGCGTGTTGATCTGTCCTACCATTTTAGAGCTTGTTGAGGTAAAGCATAATTTCTTATTTCTCAATGTGTTCCCACGTCTGGCACGTACAAGTATGTATTCTTTCAATAGCATATTCATCCCCAAATACCTTTAAAAAACAAATTACACTTGTTTATTTGTTTGTGTTTGGGGGGGCATGTGGACACATATGGGGGCCCATGGATGACTTGTAAGAGTTGGTTCACTTCTTCCACCATGTGGTTCTAGGGGGAACAAACTCAGGTTGTTAGGCTTGGCAGCTGGCACTTTATTTGGTCAGCTATCTCACCAGCCCTCAAGAATCATTTTCAATCAGACTATATTGTTCTTGCCTGTTTAAAAATATTATTTTTGGTTGTGAGCCTAGCCGGGCGGTGGTGGTGCACGCCTTTAATCCCAGCACTTGGCAGGCAGAGCCAGGCAGATCTCTGTGAGTTCGAGGCCAGCCTGGGCTACCAAGTGAGTCCCAGGAAAGGCGCAAAGCTACACAGAGAAATCCTGTCTCAAAAAACCAAAAAAAAAAGAAAAAGAAAAAAATTATTAACCAAAAAATCAATGAAAATGGGCTCCCAGAGAAATATTTTTATTAATATTTGCCAGGAAAGTGATTATATGAATTTGATTCTTTTGTTTTCATTTTATTAATAATATTCAAAAGAATACAAAGTAATGAGTTTTGTTATAATATTTTATATACTTACGTCATTTTGTTTTTTCTTACACTGCATCCCTTGCCTGATGCATAATTGGAAAAGGTTATTTTTTTTTTCCATTCTGTAGGCTGCCATTCCACTCTGGTGATATTTTTCTTTGCTATGCAGAAATTCATCAATTTTGGGCTCCCATCAATTTAGAATTATTTCCTGAGCTAATGATGTGATTTTCAGAAAGTTCTTGCCTCTATGTGTGTCTTGAAATGCTTTCCTCTAGCAGTTTTTATGTTTTGGGTTTTACATTAAGGTCTTTGACCCACTTTGAATTAACTTTTATGCAAAGAGAATGATATCAGGCTAGCTTTATTCTTCTACATGAACATACCTAGTTTTCCCAGCACCTTTTGTTAAGGAAGATCTTAATTTCCAAAGTTTGTTTTTGATGATTTTGTCAAAAATCAGGTGAGTATAGCTGTGAGAATTTATTCCTGGGTGCTCTGTTCTACTCCATTGGTCTACATGTCTGTTTTTGTGCCAATGCTTAGCAATGTTCATTACTGTGGCTCTGTGGTATAATTTGAGATCAGATATTATGGTACTTCCAGAATCATGGTTTCTTCTTGGGGTTGCTTTAGTTATCCAAGGTTCATATGAATTTTAGGATTTTTTTCCAGTTCTGTAGATGATGTCATTGGAATTTTGATGGGGATTGTGTTGAGTTGGTAGAATATTTTTAGTAATATATCCATTTGTATAGTATTAGTTCTGCTAATCCATAAGCAAGGACAGTCTTTCCATCATTGAGTTTGTCTTGTATAGATAGATCTTTCACTTCCTCAATTAGGTTTATTTATGGGTATTCTTAAGCTACAGTACATGAAAATTTTCTTTTCAACAAGTCATGATTGGTATATAGAAAATCTCCCAATCTTGTACGTTGATCTTACATCCTGCTAGTTTAATGAACGTATTATC